AATTAAAGTATTAGTAGGCGCCATAGAATTTACTGCATAAAGGAAAACAACCAAGTGAAATGAACACATGAAAATGTGTAAAGGCTTCTGCACATCAGTAAATTCCACCACACATCCACCGCCACAAACTGATTAGTGCTTTACTTCAGCTGGCAGATGGTAACTGAGGAGCCCACGCCGAACCCTGCACACAGCGGCTCAGTGAATGTGGCGTGGAACGTGTGTATGAGCCTCATCGATTCGGAGACGTTATAAAATGACATACTGCCACCTGCATAGTCTACGTACACCCCTATTCTAGTGGCACTGTGGGGGGCAGCTATATCTTTGACCACCTGATTGTGCCAGGCAGAGTAACCCATCTCGGAGCAGAGCAAACTCCAGGATTTATCATTGTATCCAAGGAGACAGAGGGGAGTCTTGCCCTTTCGCCGGATGCTTTTGTACGCGACGCCGATGGTGAACTCTCCACTCCCCTCGGCCTCCCAGTAATACCGGTGTCCCGAGAGCGCCTCCTGGCACAGCACCTGGGAGTAGCAGTCAAATCTCTCCGGGTGATCGGGATAAACCTGGAGATCTCTCTTCCTTATCGCTCTCCTGTTCCCGGCGGACAGAGAGAGCTCCCGGAACGCCGTACAGGGGTCGAACGAAAGCCGACAGGAGTCTGATCGGAAAGGAGAAACCAAAACCATTGAGAAGAGCGAGCGAGAGAGAATATTTCAATCCTCGAGTCAGTTACGTGTGTATGGCTGGGTGTGCACACATCGACTGACTCGCTGAGGTCCTGCCATTGAAGCAGGAACAGCTGTAGAGGGAATGTTTTTTTGTTGTTGTTGTTGTTTTTCGTATAACTATACATATATTCATTTATTACTGATTTCATTTATTGAGCACGGATACAATAGGGGTACAGCCATTCACTGTTTGACATGTCTGCACTGGTACAGAACCTAGCAATCAGAAAACGGGTGAAACTGTCTTGAGAATTAGCATACAGTACCGAGGCCCCCATGACCAAATAAAGGCTAACCTCGATAATCAGCCTAAATAATGCAGACTACAGCAAAACGACTGACTTTGAAAAGGGAATGAATGTCCGGAAGGAGTATTGTAACCAGCTTGAAATGCTTCTCCGGACCTCTAACTAAAAGAAACCGAGAACCAGCAGTGTCATTGACTCCTTTCGAACTGGGATCCTATCGCAGCCACGCAATCCGTGGTGTCGTAACTCTTCCGTATCTGATATTGGCCTATATCTCGGCTTCTTCCAAAAAAAAGAAAACCTGGATGAGATCCTTGGATCAATTAATGGCTAATCACCAAAAGGGCAAGTTGCCTCTTGACTGTAACCTTTCCTATGTTAAGTCAGTCTTCTGCCCCTCAAGCTCATCCCCCACAATTCCCAAACCACACAAAGTCTCCCCTCACACGCCACACACACACACCCACCAGCAACAGAAATTAAAAATGCACAAACTCACACTTGAGGAAGTCTGTTCTGGTCTGGGGATCAGGAAGTGGCCCTTGCCCAGGAGCTGGGAGGAAGGGAAAGAGGGCGGAGCTCAGGCTGGTGATGTCACGCCTGTCACGCCCACAGGCGCATCACTGTGATGGTTCGGTCCCGAATAGAGGAAGCTCATTAACCGGAACCATTTTCTTTCATAGCTCTTAAAAATCTAATTCTTCATTCAGTGAAGAGTTTCAGAAGTAGCTGGACTGGGGTTACCAAAACTGGGACTGAGACACCCTGCTGTAAATTGTTAAATACCAAATGCTCCTTGTCGGGGTTTGGGAGGAGCTCCGAGCGTCTCTGGTTCAAATCAATATCTCTCTGAGGGAAGACCAGCATGAGGTCACTTTGAAAACATACTAATTCCCTTTTGGGTGAGCTTAGCTGACCTCGAAGGGCAGGTATCCCCCAATGTGGTCTCTACAAGAGAAAAAATGATGTGTCTAGTCTGGAGAGTTGCAGGTAACGCATGAGGTTGTGTGATGAGCAAAGGGGGAATATCTTTTGTTGCTGCTCCTCTGAGTGAGAGCAGCTGCCGGGAGTGATCTTGGAATAGCATTCCCATTTAGCTGTGAGGCCCTCTAGTGGTGACCAGCGGAAATTCGGCTCAAGAGTCCAAAAATTGCATTATAGTTTTTTTTGCATTCTTAAAAACATTTAGCATGTGTTCCTGTTTCTTGCCTCCATGATGTTAATCTATCGTATGCTGGTTGAGGATTCTGAGTATCTGGGACTTTGAGTAGATAAACTCTGCCCTCATCCTTCTGTCTACCCTGGTGGTGTCTGTGCTCCTAGTGACCCACACTGCTCTTCTGCAGGAGGGGCTTGTACCTGGTTAGGATTCGGGGGGCAGGTACCATGCACTTTGCTCCAGCAGTTACGCGAGCGCGTGCGTCTGTGCCCTGCATACATGGTCCCAAACGTGTGCGCAAAGTTCTTTCCAATATCTGTTTCCTGATGTGGTCCAGGTTACCTGTGTCCATTATAAACCATGCACACCTGAGCGCTCAACAGATGAAGTTTCTTTACACAAAAGGTCTCCTGTTGCTGCTGATTCTTATGAACAGTATCTGAACGTCTCTGGGCATTGAATCTTGACATGTTCCCCAAACCAAAAAGTATGAGTGGGACACAATCAAGACCGCTGATAAAAGCACTTGCATTTGAATGAGGTTCAACAAATGCTTGGTTACAACTTTTGATCTGATTGACTCAGTTTTGCGATACAATTACTGTACTGTGCACCGCGCTGTCCAGGCCCCAGAAAGTTTCTGAAAAAAAACTGTTCAGATAGGAGCAAAAAAACACTCGTCCTAAACCTGACTTTGGTCTCAAAATCCCAAGTAATGTGTGAATGCTAACCCTAACGCTACCTGGGGTGTCACCTGAGCATTTCCGTGATCTACTGTATGATTTTCTAAACTGCGCACGTCACTGCATGGCCTTACCTTTTAAGAGTTTCTCGCCAGTTCTTGGTATCTGGAGGTAGACTGGAGTCTCATCCACTGCAAATAAAATAAAAAAATGACTAAATATGTGGAACAACAGGAACAGAAGATGGTTTTGAATGTCTCCCACCTCTTTTGGAGATCTTGGCCAATTCCTTTCTGCAGATGTCCTCCAAATACTCCTTCATGTCGGTGACACCTTTGCTTATGACCCCCAAGGAGAATTCTGGATTTAGAACCACCTTGGGCACAACTCCTTCATGAGGGACACACAGGGAAGGGTAATTCTAGCACGAGAAGGAGAACAGAGGGCTACAGGTTATCAAGGAGAGGAGACCACTTGGCCCATCTTGCCTGATTGCTTCTCAAGGATTCCTGGGAATGTACTTTAACAGCATGACTGGGCAGTGCACCAGCAACCCCAAGTGTGAAGAAATGCACGTTCTTAAATGTCCTATCACCTATTCTCCACCTGTCCTCTGCTTTGTGGATAAAACTGCACACTCCTGGAGGTTTGAAAGGACACCCACACTCTCCAAAGGCTAAGGACCCGGAAAGCAGATCTAACTGCGACCAATTAAATCAGTCACAGACTGATGATGTCATTCAGAGACCAGGTAGGACGCGAGCCGGAAGACCGCACAGCGCCGCGTGACCAACGATGAGGATTACCTGCAGGAAGTGAATGTGATCCTCTGTGTCCAGAACGAGCCTGAGCTCCCCCTCTCTCTTGCGAAGACCCATGATCTCCTCCTCCAGGCGCTGGACGTGTCCCTCCACCTGGACGATGGCCGCCTTCTCGTTCGCTGCGATGAGGCTATTGGCCTCACTGCAGAGTCTCTCCGTGGACCGGATCATCTCTGCGAAGATCTTGCCGCTGTCTGCCATCACCCGTCGCGCAGAGCTCTAATGTTTACAATTTAACAGAGGTTTACAATTTTTAACAGTTCTTTAAAACTTCAAGACTTTAAACCCCAATATAACCTTCTCTTAGACTTCTTTTTTTTAACTGAACAGAAAAGCTGCTTCAGTCTGTCTTCGTGCCTCTAAGACCTGGCCTTTCTCTAATAAAGGTTTGCGTTTTAAATACTACAGGAGCCTCAGGTCATATGCAGCTGGTCCTCTCTTGTGTCCTTGATCTCCGCTACGTATTCAAGTGTCCTACCGATCCTGCACGATTTCATTCATAGTATTTCTTTCAGGATTGCTAGAGGCCAGACTCGACAACGATGACCAAATCAGTATTAGGTCTGGACTGAATTGTATTCTGCAGCAGCTCTGCAGGGGTAGTGAAATTCATCAACTGTTTACAGCTTTCAAACGTGGCTGAAGGAAACCCTTCACACTTCCCCTTGGATTTAATCTGTCTTTCCATCACTAATCTCCAGTCCTGCATCCTTCCATTCTCCTTTCCTGCCCACAGCCCACCTGTGCTCCCTCTTTTCCCTGTCCACAGCTGAGGCTCTAGGTGCCAGACTCTGTGTGTCGTCCTCTGTGGAGCGGACCTCTTGCCTGAGAGCCAGGTGCATCCCCAGCCACGGCTATAAAACAGAGCTGAATCCCTGCACACGTACTTTGAGAGACTCTGCTTCGTGCCTCAGTTCTTCCAGCTCCTTCGCTCTTTCCTGGATTGTCTGTTGGACTTCAGCCTGCGTCATCGCCAACACCTTCTGTGGAGGAGCACAGGAGGCAGAGCAACCTGTTTACTTCAGGGGACAGACGTCAGGGGACAGACAGCCGGGGCTGGAAAGCTGAACGGAGACCTGGCTCCACCGTGTGGGTTGACAGAGGTGTGACATGTTAAATAAAAACCCTAGCAGGGGGTTCTGAGACGATGACCCACGACAACAAGATATCTGATGCCTTCACCGAAGAAGAGATCTGTGGGCAGATGCATAAAACACCTCAAATGAAATTTAGCCTTTTAAGTGTTCCTGAAATCCAAGGATGTCCTTAACTAAGGGAATGTGCGTCTGTGTTTGATACCTGGCGTACTTGGTGCAGCTGACCCTGAGAATTTAGTGATGTTCAGTCTCCTGAGCATCTTAAAAAAGAGGATGTTGTATTAAAAAAAAACACATCTCCAGTCCTTGAAAAGTGGGTGTTTCCATTTTTTTTAACATCAGTGGCTTTGAATGAGGATGCCCAGTTTAAATTAAATCACACTGTTACTGTTATATATTTAGTATAACGGTAAGACAGTCTTACCGTTATACTAAACTAATAAAAAAGAGAAGATTTCTTCATTCTTCTCCCCATTCTACCTCAACGGGGACTATCCCTTTGCTAGTTGGTGTTGACAATAGAAACTTTAAGAATTACTTAAATAGTATTGTAGGGTATATTGATTCTCAATTAATGGAATTGGCTTTTCAATTATTGAGAGAAGAACTCCTTTCCCGTGTTTCCACAGGGCTGCCCAGTCTTGATCCCGGAGGGCCGGTGTGCCTCTGAGCTCAGTCGGCTTGTTCTCTGCTGACTGGACCAAGTTAACACTTCTCTCGGGTGCTTGGGCAGCCGGGAAGCTCTTACCTGTCCCTCGGCTCGCTCTTCCTCCGCGGAGACGACGTCGTGGTCCCTGTGCTCCCGCACGGCGCACAGCGCGCAGACGCACATCCGATCGGAGCGGCAGAAGAGCTCCAGCCTCTTCTCGTGCTGGGGGCAGACCTTGCGGGCGAGGTGGCCGGTTCCGTCCACCAGCTTGTGCCCGCGGAAGGCGGGCGAGTCGTAGTGGGGCCTGACGTGGGCGTCGCAGTAGGACGCCAGGCACACCAGGCAGGACTTCACGGCTGTCCGCTTCCTGCCGGTGCAGAAGTCGCAGGGCACGTCCCGCCGGGCAGGCGGGAAAGGGACGAGCTCCGGCCTCGGCAGCCTCTCCGGAGGGGGGGTCGGGGCGGCCCCCCGCAGCGCCGGCCGGGGGGTGAAGGTGGCCCTGCACCGCGGGCAGCTGTACACCCCTATGGGATCTGCCTGAGCCCAGCTGACCTCGATGCACTCCAAGCAGAAGGTGTCCCCACAGGCCAGCGTGACCGGCTCCCTCGGCCAGTCCGCGCACAGCGGACAGCGGAGCTCCTCGTCGGACACCCAGGCTCCGGAGCCTGCCATGCTCAGCAACAGCTGCAGAGACGAGACTGCGGCGCGGCAGACAGAACCCGCCTGTATTTCAGCAGCCCCGCAGTTTGGTAAACAAGCTGGCCGATGGGGGTGCGATAAAGATAAACCGACTCGGCAGAAAGTCTTTGAGAACAAAGTTGTTGTGCTGTGAAAAGGACAAATACAGTTCTTTCATGAACGCTGGGGTTTTCACCCACGGGATACAGATTCACCATACTTACTGTACATCAGATTGAAAACACTACATCGAAAAAAATGGATTGTTTCTGCCAGGTTTAAGACTGACGAACGTGCTCTCCTGACGAGTGCGTGCCTGATCTACCCCATCTAAGAAACGGGTAACGTTCATGGGCAAAAATATTAGGAACCCCCAATCTAAGGATCTCTGTGAGCCAGCCCAGCGGACAGTGTTCCATCACCTTCCCAGGCTAGACCCATCCTGGGATCTCAGTCCTGTGGAAAACTTCTAGGACCAGTAGAAGGTACACCTCTGCACCACACATGACCCCTGGTCCCAGCCCCAGTTGGAGGCCCACCTCCTGGAAGAGTCTCACCACTCCCTGTCCTCCCTGAGACCCAGGGTCTTGGTGCTCGGCCAGCGAGTACGACCGATCCAAAGCGCTCGTCTTTTCCGTCTTTCCTCCCTCGTATATCTCTTTTGTTCAAAGGTGTTTTCGTTCCCCTGAATTTTGTACCACCGCTGTAGTGGCTGCAAAGCTAAGGCAGCCAGCAGGTTATAGCGACTCGTCATACAAAACGCTTGACGCAGCGAGAAGCAGCCTGTCTGCGGATGCTTGAACACGAGTTTGACAGGTCTGAAATAAGAGGCGTTTCATTCCTGCGACACTTGCCTGCTGGATTATCTGGAATGAGGGGGAAACAAAATCTCGTATTTAGGGATCGTGCTTTAAAGAAATGCATTCAAGGCGAGATCACCTCTGTACCCTGTCTGCAGTGGCTTATGCTCTTAGGGGAAAGGAATACTTCCCTATTACAGCTCCAGGCAAGGGAGAGATGGGATACAACTGGCATGAATTCATGACTTTCGAGTACACTTTCCCTGTGTGATGAAACCAAACAGAGGCAAAACCAACACAAGGGGCTGAGACTTTCTGTAAATAAATAGTCTCGCCTGCATGACCTTCATGCCGTGTTGCTGGGTTGCTGTTGTTTATGGTATCTGTAAGACATGCAGCATCAGCACTGTACCGCTGCAGGCTGTGGGATTACCAAGCACCTAGAGGGGACGTTTTGTTTTCACCAACAGCACGCCCTTGGCGAAAGATGTGGGGTGTGTGATGCAGTTTTCCATAAAACAAAGGAACGATAGGCTGCGTGGAAGGGATCAGTCGATGTCTGGTGTAGAAAAACATGCCTGTTAGTTAGGAATTCCCAGGAAGGCCATTGGTTTTGGGGGGCCCTCCCTCCCCTTTAGGGTTCGGTTTCTAGCCTGTGACATCCCTGTAACCAGATCCAACCGAGTCAGAGAACAAATTCTCATTGACAGTGATGACGCAGAGACTTGTTTTTACAGTATTTAACGGAGCTGAGCCGAGTAGCTCACTCAAGGTCACCTACAGCACCTGCTCCGGAGCTCTAACCACTACTCCAAACCACTACGTTTGACTGTTATCCCAGTTAGAAGTGCGGCTAATTCTAAAATAAGGCCAAGTGCCACAAGTCTGCTGATGTGATCCTTGGATCTTCAAACCACTAGCAGCTGGATGAACAAGATGAGCTGAGCGACCCTCTCTAGTATCTGATCGACTTTCTTGTTAGCTTTTTAAACTGTAAGAGATCGAGAACCTGTGGCTATTCTTTTAGTTAGGATCTTGTATATAAAATTAGGAACACTTGTTTTCTTCCCGTCAGCATAGATATTTGGAGCATTTGCAATCAAACTTACTTATCGCAGACAGCATGTAGCTGATTACGCGTAAGGACAGAGGGCCTGATGGTGACTCATTTCAGAGATCCACTGCAAAAAGACTCAAGTCTCCTTAAAAAGCCCCTAACAGGACCGTCAGTGATTAATTGCCAAGAGGGAACTTCTCTTAGGAAAAATGTATCCCAGTTACATCCTCCCCATTCTCTAGATACTGTGCACTTATAAGATTCCTAGCCATCGATTTTGCTTCAAATTGTAACTGTAACTTAACTCTTCCCTTTTGTAAACCCCTTTTCCCAGCCTTTTGTTTAACCCCTTCTTTAATGTGCAAAAATCAGTATGCTGTTACATGCTTTAACACAGAAACTCTTAAAAGGGTGGTGCTACAGTATCTGAACTGGAAAATCTAAACTGTACTGTGTTTGAGGGCAGTCCTGACCCAACCATTTAACAACAGAATCTTGTGGATCAAGATTCTCCTTAATGCCTGTGGCTGATGTTTCTTTTTTGTAGTCTACTATTCATGAATTTGTTTCTACCTTAACATATTCACAAACAACAAATGCCAGAGTGCGAGGCAGACAAGATACACGGCCGTTGCATGAAATAAGAACTCGAGGCCTTGTTTTCTTAGCAACCTGCACATTTATTTGAAGGGAAAGGAAACAGTTCTTGGCAGGGCTGCCTTAAAGATCAATAAAAACTTGATCAAGACCAAGCTGGGGAAACAGGTGTTAGCTCTGAATCTGCTGGTTTCTCCCCATAGAGCAAATGACCGAGGCAGTTCGCATGTCCGTCTGTGTGCCTGCAGAGGAGAGGAATTCGAAATCCCTGGAATTCTGTAACGGATACTGTCTCCATTGAGAAACCCGGACTTTCTGCAGAATTATACAGAGAGGGCAATGAAGGATGGAAAAACGATAATAAACGTTCTCCAGAAAGTTTCGTCCGGACTTTGGCTTGCCCCTGCCTCTCCACTCCACACGCCCCGGCCAGTTTCGCTTAACCGACGACAACCGTTCTGACGCCGAGCCCCGCCTGGGGCGCCTCGGCCGCGTGCACGCGCTGGCGGTGGCGCTTCAGGTCCGAGGACGTGATGAAGCGCTTCCCGCAGGACGCGCAGGGGTGCGGCTTGTCCCCCGTGTGGATCTGCTGGTGCCTCTTGAGGTTCCTGAGCTGGCTGAAGCTCTTCCGGCACGCGGCGCACTCGAAGGGCTTGGCCCCCGTGTGGGTGCTGTGGTGCCGCCTGAGCTCGGCCAGCGTGATGAAGCTCTTCCCGCACCGCGCGCAGCAGTAGGGCTTCTCCCCCGTGTGGGTGCGCCGGTGCCTCTTGAGGGAGCCCAGCTCGTTGAACCTCTTGCCGCAGTCGGCGCAGCCGTAGGGCCTCTCGCCAGAGTGCGTGCGCAGGTGCGACTGCAGGTGGCCCACCTGCCGGAAGCCGCGCTGGCACTGGGCGCAGCGGAAGGGCTTCTCGCCCGTGTGGGTGCGCTGGTGCCGCTGCAGGACCGCCAGGGTGGTGAAGCTGTTGCCGCACACGGGGCAGTGGAAGGGCGTCTCGCCCGTGTGGACCTGGTAGTGGCGCCGCAGGTTCCTCAGCCGGTTGAAGCCCCTGGCGCACTCGGAGCAGCGGAAGGGCTTCTCGCCCGTGTGGATGCGCTGGTGCTTCCTCAGCTCCGACAGGGCGGCGAAGCTCCTGCCGCACTCCAGGCAGAGGTGGGGCTTCTCCCCCAGATGGACCCGCTGGTGCTCTCTGAGCCTTTTTGATTTGCTGAAGCTCTTCGCACACTGGCTGCAAGGAAAGGGCTTCTCTGCCGCCGGATCCATGCGGTCGCCCGGCTCTCGGCTTCCCGCGTCGCCACTGTCCTGAGTGGAACCTGTCCCGGGAAAGGGCAGCGTCTTACACACCCTCACGTCCTTGACGGGCAAGCCAAGGTCCGGGTCTGTGACCTTGGCAACACGAAAGGAGTCCTTCAGGAGCTCTCCCTTCGTATAGAGGAGCTCGGATGTTTCCTCTGACTGTGCCGCACAGTCATGCTGGTGTTTCACCACTTCGCCGTCGAGAGGCGCGAACTCCTCTTTAATGTGGACCAGCACGATCTCTGACACCTGTTGCATTCCAGGGTCAGCCATCTCCTGTTCACCTGTGAACGAACAGGATTTAGCAACTCAGTGCACTTGCAGAAGCGCCTTTTCTACACTGCTGCACTAAGACCCACACAGACTACAGGGTGAGCGCCCCCTATTGGTCCCACTAACACCTTTTTCCAGCAGCAACCTTAGCTTTCCCAGGTACTGGCCAGGCTCACACCTGCGGAGCTCCAGTGGGCTGCCATCTGTGAGCTGCAGGGAGAGTAAAGAGAAGTGTGTTTTAGCCATACCGTAAATCTTTGTCAACCAAGTCAGTTCATTCCTGTAGGTTTTGGGTAAGCAAGTTTTAATTCTAACCTTTCAGCTAAAGCATGCCTGTTTTCTGTAACTGCAGGGCAATCAGAGCCTTGGCTCAAATCAATCACCCCCAACACCCCACTCAGAAATACTGGTTAGTAAACTAAGAAATCCATTTCTAGACAGCTCAAGAAGCCCCGTCTTTTTTCTGTTATATTTTAAGTCGGAATCATTTTTTATATTGTATAGCTTCCCAGCATGAAATAAGCACTTGTTTATCGACATACTTCAAAGCTACAACCATCGTACTGGGATGTGAAATTGAGGTGGAACGCCGGCTGACTCCCAGTCAACAGCAGGGGGGCACAAAGAAGGGAGAATCCCAGTCACAGTGGGCTAGTGACTCATCTGGAACATCAATGTGACCAAAATGCCCGATTTTCTCTGCCCTTCTGAAAAGGAAAAAGAAGTGTGCTCCCTCTTTCAGCGCAAGCCCCAGTGTTAACCGAAGAGTTAACAGGAATAGTGCAGGCCTAATTATCTACACCACATTATAACACTGTTTGATAAAATGCTCATGAAACCATAGCTACACATCTTCACCGCTAGGTGTATGAATTAAAATGCCTAATGGCTAACAGAATACCTTTACCTACTGTTAAAAAATTGGAAAACAACATAAAGTGTTCCTGTAATATAATGAGATGTCCAGCCTGAAGCCATTAAAGATCCCCTGGCACTGTTCGAAAGAGTAGGGGACTTAACTCTCGTATCCCTGATAAATTCCACTCAGGTCCTGCAAAATCAGACCTTCACAAAGTCTTGGGGATGAAATGCTATACAAGAGCAAGGAATTGTTACCTTTATTATTTTAACACTGCGATTTTGCATTATTTTAAAGGCAAATGGTGATAAAATGTGTGGAACCCAGGGGGTCTTCAACTTGAATAACAGAAATGTCGAAGTCCTAATTATTATCAAAATAATTCATACATTACTTTAGAATCCATAGTTCAATGGACATAGATGGTAGAGAGCCGGACTAGAGACAAACATGTTTGAACAGTGCAGGCGATTTGAAACTGTTACCTCTTTAAAGTCATTCCATAAAGACTGCGTGGACTTTGCATTCCTGTAAAATAATATGCAAATAAATTTACATTAATAAAACATCTTTGTACGTCTGGCTATTTGCAGATACAGTTTGCTAACTAGTGTATACGGGACTCTGCTGTCAGTTATATTTACTTTACATTCTTTATATGTCATACCCAGCTGCACAATCTCTCTTCACTTACACTTGACAACAAAAATCAAGTTTTTCCATTTATTCCCTCATTCATTTTTTTTACAATGGTGAGAGGTTGCACAGTTCCAGCCGCAGTTTATGAAACTAGAGGGCTTCCAAATATATCGCCGCATTTAAATTAGCCGATGTTGCTGGTTAAATTAAATAACCGTAGTTTGGCGCCCAAGAACGTTTACAACTACGGACATGAAAAGAGACTATTCAGTTGATCCACGTAAACTTTGAACTACGTTACAGATAGATCTGTTGCTGGTATTTTAAGTCCTCACCTTCTGAAAGACACAAGGACAGCCTCCTCTATCTTTGCATCTTTGTTTTGGCGCCCGACCACTGAATTCCGTCCCCCGAGCAGTAATCGCTCTGGGTAACTGGTTCCGCGTTATTTAGTTCCTAAGAGCAACTTTGCGGACTCCTTGTTGTAAATCTCCATTATTAAATTTAAATTTTAATGTGTATTCGTTATTTATTAAGGTTTAAAAGGCAAGCATTGATACAAAATGTTTCTCCATTGAATGATCACTTTTTCGTTATCCATGTCACGAATACATTGTACAGTAGGTGTGACAACTTGGGATGCGTGGATAGGGGAAACGAAAAGCTCTACCGTGGTGGCGCAATGGCACAGGGGTTGGCATTAACCGTAAAGGTGGTTAGGGACTGCGATTCTACCTTACCAGCAGGTCCTGACGTCTGGACGGTGAGGTAATGTACTCGCCGCGGAAGAGGGCGACTAGGATATACTGTACAAAGTGTAGTTTCAAAGTTTCAAATTCAATGGGAATTTTACCGATGTGAGATAAAAGCCATTTTGAGGTAAACGCCTACGAACAAAGACCAATGTGTCTGAATGATAATAAGCAATCGTGACGCCAAAGACGAAACCCACAGCTCGGAACCAATATCCATCACGCCGGGGTGCTGGAGGGAAGACGTCTGTTGCTGGAACCTGCAGTGTAAACCAAGGTATGATGAGGGGCGTAAGAAATAAACAGGTAAACCCTTATAAGTTAATAAGAATAATAAAATAGTGACTAAGGATGTATTATTTTCAGTAATAAATGGAATACGCATTATAACAAGTACGGTATGAGTTTTAAGTTGTGTACTTTTACTATCTGCAAAAAAACAGCCGTATTGAGAAAGTGCCTACATATGAATAGTAGTCCGTGATAGACATTTAGGTTCTGTGTTTTCCGCAGATACTCCAAGTGAGTTTTCTAGCTCCAACAGAAAGTTATAGTTTCCCCGGATTAGCTAATAACTACCAGTGCCGCCTGCAGCTTTGAAACCGTCCTCGATTGCCTTGAGAACCCTGTCGATCAGTGGTGTCACTTGTGCTCCAATCTGCGTGCAGAACTATTCCTAGCTAATATTGTACTTCATATAAAGTATATGTTACAGTAATTTGTAGTAAGACGACAGCAAGTTGTGAGGCAGGTAGATACATTCATTGATCTGTACTTTTCAGATAGTCTTCAATTACGTCTTCCTTTGATCAAGGCTTAAGATTCTTAATTCTTTTAACTTGTGTTGTTTTTTTTACCGTGCTATGAGAACAACAACTCTATCGTAGTTTCTATTCTTTGCAACGTGTACAGAGCTGCAAAAAACATCAGGAAAGAGGGGACCAAAACAGAACACAATCTTGTAAAAAGGGTCAGGTTAGCACCCGTGCTTCTAACTCTGTCGTCTCTATTGAAGTATACTCCCTAGCTGTTGGACAGTCATCTCATTTTTTAATGAAAATTGTGAAATGAAAACCGTCGATGTTTATGATGATAATTCTGTGTTAGCACCTTCCATGCAGCAGAATAGTTGAATAAATTATTTAACAGACTGAACATTACGTGTATATTAGTCTGAAACCAGGTGGAAGTGGAATTTAACCAATGGGACTGGGACTAGCACCCCTGCTGTAATGTCTTAAATGAGAGTGTGATATACCTGTGGGCACCTCACAACAGGAGGTTTGAAAATTGGTGGGTCCAGACCAACAAACACACCCCAGTGCCTTTATTGGCATCTCTGCCAGATTCTTTCAAACAGAACCTCAAAAAGTCCCCAAAAGTCCCCAGTCAGGCGATTAGCACATACAGGTATTCCCCCCACTCAGGCTACAGCCACTCAGTCCCACAGACCAACGCTGGAAGCGGTCTATTCCTGGTTCTTATAGAGTCACCTGACCAATTGGCTTCCTGCAGCTGGTCAGGTGACAGAGCAGCTGCTCATTTCCCCAGAGGAAAATCTAGGAAATGTGGTCCCTATAGCACTGTGCTCTCACAATAGCAAAGCAAGATGTCAGGACCCCTGTACATCATCTCAGTGAGAGCTGCAATCAGATTCTTCATAGAGATCCCATCTCTCTCCCAGTACTAACCGGGCCCAACCCTGCTCAGCTACTGCGGTCTAATGAGATGAGGACACAGGGTGGCGGCGCTAGGTGGAATGTATGTGACTTTAATTTTTGTGTTTGCCTTTCACAGGAGGCAGATCAAAGGTTGAACTGGTTGGCGGAGTGTCTAGCAAGCTAAGATCTCCTGTCAATTCCCATTCTGATCAACTGTGAGTTTTTTCTGTACCCGGATAGAGAAGACAGATTTCACAATGTCTTCAGGCTGCGTTGCAGAGAATTGCAGAAGGTCAACCAAAGACGGCGTCGCGCTCTTCTTTTTCCCGAAAGACCCTCGCATGTGCAGCCTTTGGAATGACTTTCTGAGGACGAGACAAACCGGCTGGAGGGGGCACTCCAAGCGCAGCAGATTGTGTTCAGTGCATTTTCAGGATGATGCATTTGAGCTCTCCTCTCTGCTCAAGTTTAAGCTGCACTTTACAAATCGTCTGAAACTGAAAGAGGATGCCGTTCCCACAATTCACTGCCCTGATGCTCTTTCTGTGTCCTCACCTGAAAGGCTAGCTGCTGTCGCTGCTGGAACATCAAAGAAACCTCTAAGAATAAAAGCACCTTCTACGAGGGAGGTTGTTTTGCAAGTAAGTTTTAAGTAACAGTGTTTAATCATGTGAATTCAGAAATTGTATGGAATGTCTTTTGCATTTTCCTTTTGTAGCACTTGCTCTATTGCTTTCATAGTGTTCCTTACACTCCCATTTGTCACTCAGTTGACCCCATTAACCGGATGATTCTACATTATGAAGTCATCAGTAGAAAGCTCATTGAGATCTATGGTGAGTGAAGTGCCTCTGTTGCAGGGGATGAGGCACAAAAGCAAAGAGGATGAAGGAGCTTCTGATGCCGGGCCTGAAACCACACATACCCACATCTCTGATGCCTTCGAGGGGGAAAAGAAGAGTAAGCCTTTCCTTTCACACTTGAACTATAAATGTGAGCAGAAAAGGCTGACAGTTCTCTTGAGTGTGAAACAGAGACGATTGCCATCAGCCTGGACAGAGTCAGCCCAGTGAGCTTCATCAACAACGCAGGAGCAGAAGAAAGGCTATAGATGAGAGGAGGCTGTCTGGCCCATGTAGTCCATTGCTTGTAGCTCTGGTTGTTCTGTCTCTCTCATTATGGCTGCGTTACTTGTCTCTGACCTTGTGCTGAAGAGTGAAGAATTTCTAAATCAAACGCTGCTCTAGGGCCTTGCTGAAGGCAGAGGTGGACCAGAATGTGTCAATTCAGACACCTTTTAAAGTTTACAGTACACAGACTTCACTTCCACTGAGTGCATTAGGGATATTCATGAACGCTGCAGCTCACTACATAGCTGTGGCAACAGCCGTTGGCCTAGTGGGCCTATATCTTCTGGAAAATCTGTGAACATGTGGTAGAATCTATGTTGAGTTGCATCTGTAATAACAGTACATCTGGTGTTGTGATTGTTTAATATTTAAGGACAGCAGTGTATGTACATGTTTTTTAATAATTCTTTTTGAAAATGGCACATGTTTATGGACTGCTCTGGCTACTTCTTCCTCAATAGCATCTCTGACTGGCGAATCGGACCCTGCGACAGACGAGAAACCAGCATGGTCTTCATCTGTGTCCTCCCTGCAAACCACCCAAGCGATGTCACTGTAAGTCAGATTAATATGTTGTTCTTCTGAGCCGAAGCTGAGTTTGCATTGTAGTCTGCTATTAGAAATCAAGGCGTATGTGCCACACATGAAGGGATTCATCTGCTTGTGAGGCTTGGTGCCCTCTGTCCAGAATCTTGCAAGGGTTCTGACTTTGTGAATTTGCATTCCTTTTCTCAGTCAAGGATAGTGATAGTTGTCTAAAAAACAGGACAGCTGTCTTTTTATTTCTACAGGCAGTTCTGTATGTGTGTTCTATACAGCATCACCATTTCTGTTCTTGTAGGTGCCCAGGTGAGAGACTTTCCAAAGCAGATACACAGCAAAGAGAGAAGGCAGGTCTCGTTTGCGGCATGGAGGAGAGCCCTTCACGAGGCGCCCCCAGCGTTGACCCGGGGTTTCCAGAAGTGGCTGTGGTGTGTATTAAAGAAGAGGACTGTGAATCTGAGCGCCAGGGCGACGCGGGGGTAGAGACCTCGGCCCCCTTGAGAAGCGGATTTAACTGCCCCGACTGCGGGAAATCGTTCTCACTGCTCAGGAACCTTAAGGTGCACCAGCGGATCCACACCGGAGAAAGACTGCATCACTGCGGCGTGTGCGGGAAGGCGTTCACCAAGCCCTGGGACCTGAGGGTCCACGAGCGCGTTCACACGGGAGAAAGGCCCTACCGCTGTCCCGACTGCGGCAAGGACTTCAGCCAGCTGTGGCACCTGAAGAAGCACCAGCGCGTCCACACGGGCGAGAAGCCGCACCTCTGCGCGGACTGCGGGAGGGCCTTCACTCACCTGGGCTCCCTGAAGGAGCACCGGCGCATCCACACGGGCGAGAAGCCGCACCGCTGCGCGGACTGCGGGAGGGCCTTCAGTCACCGGGGCTCCCTGAAGGAGCACCGGCGCATCCACACGGGCGAGAGGCCGCACCGCTGCGCCGTGTGCGGCAAGAGCTTCAGCCACGCCTCCACCTTCCGGGAGCACCGGCTCGTCCACACGGGCCAGAAGCCCCACCGCTGCGCCGAGTGCGGCAGAGGCTTCTGCAAGCGGGGCAAGCTCAAGGAGCACCAGCAGCTGCACGCCGGCGACAAGCCCTTCAGCTGCGCGGAGTGCGGGAGCAGCTTCACCCGCCTGTACCACCTGAAGCGGCACCAGCGCGCCCACACGGGCGAGAAGCCCCACCGCTGCCCCCACTGCTCGAAGAGCTTCAAGGAGCTGAAGCACCTCAAGGTCCATCAGGGGATCCACAGCGGGCGGAAGACCAGCCCCTGCCCCGTGTGCGGGAAGAGGTTCAGCCAGCCGGGCAACCTGCGCGTGCACCAGCGCATTCACACCGGGGAGAAGCCCTTCCTGTGCCCGGCGTGCGGCCAGAGCTTCCTTCAGCTGGGCACCCTGCAGGAGCACCAGAAGATCCACTCCGCAGCCCGGCCCTCCCAGTGCGCCGAGTGCGACCAGGGCTTCGCCGAGGCGGAGAGGCCCTACCGGTGCCTGCTCTGCTGGCACAGCTTCAGCGAGCCTGGCCAGCTGCAGAAGCACCAGGGGGCCCACCGGGAGAAGAAGCCCAACTGCTGCTCCGAGTGCGGGAAGAGGTTCAGCGAGCCGGGGAAGCTGAAAATCCACCAGCGCACTCACACGGGAGAGAAGCCTTACAGCTGCCCGGTGTGCGACAAGAGGTTCACTCAGCTGGGCACTCTGAAGGAGCACCGGCGCATCCACACGGGGGAGAGGCCCTACAAGTGCGCCGCGTGTGAGAAGAGCTTCACCCACCTGTCGAGTTTCAGGTCCCACCGGCGGATTCACGCGCGGGGCAGCCCGCAGCCGCCCTCGCCGGGGCGCCCCCCGCAGGCGCCGAAGGAGAAGCGCCACCCTTGTGGCCAGTGCTGGAAGAGCTTCAGCGAGCCGAGGTACCTCAAGGTGCACCAGCGGATCCACACGGGCGAGAAGCCCTACAGCTGCTCCTCCTGCGGCCAGAGCTTCAGGCACTCCACCTCCCTCAAGAGGCACCTCCGCGCGCACGGCGGCGAGGGGCGGACCGGCCCTGCATCTGGGCCCGTCGCCGGGGAGACGGACCGGAGCCACCCGGATCCTGCCCGAAGCACAGGTCCCTTCAAAACGGGAGCCGCCTACGAAATTGAGGTCGTAATATAATGGCGAGGGAGGTGCAGGACTGAAGGTGAAGCTGATGGTTTGCTCGCGTGACGTTCCCCTGTGTGCTCAGCTGCTAGTAAAGTGTGGGGTTGCTGCAAGCTGGTGAAATGTACAAAATATGTGTAAAAGAGTTCATTTATCTGGGGCGTACCACCATCATTCTTTGTTGTCAAATTCCCGACACCTTTTTTGTACTGTTGTAGAGAGGTAAAGGCATGCAGGGTCTTTTCTTGGCAAAAGGGAGGTAGAAGATCGCAGCTGGTTCTCCACATCTGCCCTTGCGGTTTGAATTCCGAGGCAAGGAAATAGAATTAATGTGCAGGTTGTGGGACTTTGTGAAAGTATTTATTTTTCTGTTCTTCTGACCGCTTCATCTGAGGAGAAGGAGGGCCTCTTATCAATTATGTGGTGTAAGTTGGCCCCCACTGAAAGTATATGAGGAAGTACAGATGCAGCCATTCAAGAATAGCAATATTATGGACAAT